AAACTAGCTAAAATTCCATGGTCCTTTCGCACTGTACCCATCCTCATCCCAAGTTAGATACTTCCTCTATTTAATCAGCAGACTGAAATCACTGTATCCTAAGGCTGCAATGGTGGGCTCAGGAATAGCAAGTATTGTGAGGCTGGCACAGGCCAGGGCAGTGTTTCATTCTGTTGTGCATAGAGTTGCTATGAGTTAGAGACAACTTGACAGCACCTGACAACAACAATAACAACATACATGTGTTTAACAAATTTGCAGTGGTTTACCTAGTAATAATGACTGTGAGTTTATTCTCTGTTAAAAGTGATGAAATAATAATCTTAAAGTATAATGTTTTATGAGTTTAAAATAATTTTTTTAGGATAAAAATATTCTATCTTACATTCAATCACTGACTTGCTTTTTCTACAGTTTTTAATATTTTAACTTTGTGGAAGATATTCAAGGCGCCCTTAAGGTGCAGTTGTTAAAGTGCTCAGCTGGTGACAGATCATCTGTTCAAACCCACAAGCTGCACTGTGATAGAGATGTGGCACTCCCCTTCTGTAAAGATTTACAGACTTGGAAACCCTGCGGGGCAGTTCTGTTCTGTCATATAGGGTCTCTGTGAGTCAGAATTGGCTCAATAGCTGTGAGTTTGGTTTGGTTTAGAAGGTATTAATCTAGGGAGTTTCGATTATTGATCTACAAAAACTGAAAATCTTAAATGAATTTATTTAAATTACATTTATTATGGTTATAATGTTAAAAACATGCTGTGTTTGAGATAATAAGTTTGAACATGAAGGCTCTATTTAAATTAGATTTTTATTTATTTATTTTATCTTTTAGTTTTGTCCGTCAACTAAAGGCACAACCAGATACCTCACTTCTACTGGTGCTGACGGAACGATCTGTTTCTGGCAATGGCATGTGAAAACAATGAAGTTTAGGTAACTGTGGAATTAGTTCAGACATTTTGTGAAAAATTAAGCATATTTGTTTTTATTTAGTACCTTGAGGGATTCTTAATAGTCCATGTATTTACATATACATAGAATTGTGTATGTGTGTGTCATACTTATATTGAATGTTAGAGATTGTCATGAAGCCAATGTGAAAGAGACTGTACACAAAATTTTGACAAGGAATGTCTGTTTCATTTCTTACTTTGGAAGAGAGTTTGAAAATTTCATAATAGTAGTAGTAAGAAGTGTGATATGTTTGAAAAACTTTAGTGGTAATACTGATGTCATAAGTTACTTTTTCCAAGTTAAATGAATTTTTTTTTTACCTGAGTGACACTGAATCTTTCAATATCCAGCATTTTGCTGAGATTCTTGCCCATTAGATGAGCATGATAAAAAGTATAAACATGCTGCTTTTCTCTTTAGAGATCGCCCAGTGAAATTTACTGAGAGATCCAGACCTGGAGTTCAGATATCTTGTTCATCTTTCAGTTCTGGTGTGTATAAAATATGTTTTGAGTACCCAAAATATTTAAAGATCCAGTTATAAGGGCTATGTTTTAGTTTTTTGAAGAAAGATTGCATGTATTGGAAAACGTATTGGAAAATGTCAAAAATGTGAACCCTAAACTTTTTAGACTCTAATTAACATGTAATGGTTGAGTTTTTACATTAAACCACAATAATCAGTAGAAGGGGAATTATAGACATAAGTCATTTGACTCAACAGCACCTAACGAAAACAACAACATGAATAATACTGGAACATTATATTTTTGCATAAAATATTTAAAAAATAAATCCCCCAAGGTTGTGATCTTTAATATTTATTGCCCCGAGGCTTACATTTAGTGTATAGTTAGTGTATTTTATTGGGTGAATGATATAGTTGTCCTTTGAATATTTCTCTTGTTTTTTCTGTATTTACTTCTTTTTCTCTGAAAAGATAGTATGTCTTTAATGGCTACAGGGTAACTTCGTGTTTCCAGAAGCCCTTTTATTAATAAAAAACCAAAAACCCAGTGCCGTTGAGTTGATTATGACTCATAGCAACCCCCATTGGGTTTCCAAGGCTGTAAGTCTTTGCAGAAGTAGATTGCCTCATCTTCCTGCAGAGCATCTTGTGGGTTTGAACCACTGGCCTTCTGGTTAGCATCCAAATGCCTTACCCGCTATACCACCAGGGCTCATTTTTATTAATATAAGGTAGCATATAAGTAAGAAAACAATCAGAGGGTTTTTTCAATTCACTGGTACTCTTTTTTTTTTCTTTCTTTCCTTCTTTTAATCTTCCAGGTGGTATGTTCATTACAACAGGTAGCACTGACCATGTGATTAGAATATATTATTTGGGTTCTGAAATCCCTGAGAAAATTGCAGAATTAGAGTCACATACGGTAAGAGCAAAATGAGAAACTTAAATATGATGCTTTCTTCTTAACACCTGCAGAAAGTTTTATTTCTTCTTTTCTGATTTGTATCCTACTT